AGCATCGTCTGTCCATGCATATTTCGGCTTTTGCCAGCCGAAGCGCAACTTGTGGCGTAATTTTTAACATGCCGAAAGACTTACACGTACAGATAATGAATCTAGCTTGTGGCCTTGCCAATCATATGAGCCCTTGTGTCATTCATTTATTTGTGTTTTTTTAGACCTAGATGTATGCAGCCCACGCTGATGATGTTGTTTTTATTCGAAGCATTTAACTATGAAAACGAGACAATTTTATGCCTTTATTTGAACAATCAGCGATGAAACCATATCCAATCTATTGTCGCAGTTAAGTATTCCCTCTCAATCCCCTTAATAAGTGTGTAGAATGAATGGATCCGCAGGGTCGGTGGCGCATGGTTGAAATGGCAAATAATGGGTCACTTCGGTTGGAATTTTGCAGTTCGTCTTCCGTCTGAACGTCCTATTTTCGCCACATAGGTAGGCGTACAGGCATTTGCAATTAAAGAGCGTTCATTCAAATCGTCAACTATGCATTCAAGTGGAAAAAATCGAGTTGACGATGGCACACAGATCGGCTACGACAATCCGAAATACAAGATATCGTGAACGACGCCGTACCACCCATTATCATTAACCTCTAGGCAGAATATTCATCAAAGCAAAGTTATTCTGTGTATCTGATGAGACAAAAAGGAGTGATGTACCACAATTTGTTAAAACCAACTGAGATTATTATTGTTGAGTGATATCAACAACACGTAGTCAGTTTGAATCCAATGCTTAACACAAAAATGCTGGAATATGAGAGAAGATATGAGGAGATGATCTTGCTGCATAACAGTCTTTGGCTCCGTATTGTGAAACTCGTGAAGCAAATTTTCGAAGCCTTTCACTAGAAAGTGTTGCCCCACACGACGCCTTCATCAAACGCTGCTACATCAGATTATCTTCTGTCTCGGTCAGTGCAACACAACCATGCTGATAACGCCTTAGCACTTGTGAGGCAGCCAAACATTTTCTAGAACAGTGGATTACATAATTAGCTCAGCGAATTTTCTATCATGCAATCCATTTGCTACCTAATAGACGGCAACAGGCCATAAATGCCAACACACAAAATTTAAGACGATTGAAAACAGCGTTTATTTCATTTTTAAACTACGGCAAGAATTAATCCCCACTCCAGTACAATGTAACAGCCCATATACCATAAATTCGATGTGAAACCGTTAACGGATAAGCAGTCTAACACGCTTTTTCAAATTTGGACGACTTTGTTTATTCGACTATTTTCCTCGGGTGGGATAAACCACGGTTTCTCTATGAGGCAAGCATTGCTGTAATACGTTATTTCTGAGTATGACATGTGATGATGCTAAGCGCTACGTATTTCACACATTTCCCAAAAAAATCACATGAATTATTTCGATATAGTGCACTTAGTTACTGGAAGCTTTTTTCCATGTTCTGGCACCTCGACACGAGTAGACCTGATAGCACTCATAAGATGAAGGAAGATAGCTGAACCAACTGGTATGACTCGACGACAGCTGTTAGCGACGTAAGTCTGCAATGTCGCAGCCTACGCAGAGATTTCCTAGACGTCGCTGGAAGTATAAATATGAAATCAAATCTTAACCGAACATTCATTTATACAGGAAGCTTGCCGGCATTTGATTGCAACTCTTCCCAATCATTCCCTGAAGTCACGTTGAAAAATGAGGCAAAACCATGGGATGCATATGTCTACTGATCTCTTTACCATTATTGGCCGAGTTATAATTCTCAAAAAATGGATATGAGCAAAAGCATTTCCATTTACCGTTTTCAAATTCAGAACTGTGATCTTTAAATTATGCAACTGAACAAAGATTCCCTGTTTGTTTTTAAAATATTAGCATTCATAAATTTCTCATATGGCTATTAGTGTAGTCCAGTATTTAACTCTTCCTTGTTTAAAGTTGCACAATTGCTAACCATTGCACTAAATTGCGAGCATCGAGCGCTCCTTGATAAAGACCACTGAAGATCGTGGCGTCTTAATCTCCTGGTTTAGAAGCCATTTAGGCAGGTGCTCACCTGGCCTGGCTGCCAGTTGCCTTTGCGTTCGCCCAATGTACTTGCATCCACAAGTACATGTAAATTCGTAAACACAATTTGACATGGCGTGCAATGGCAAAGCATCCTTTGCCCGTGGAACTTCGATTGCCTTAGTAGAACTGTAGAAGATGAGTTCTGCTGAGTTGTAAGTTCTCTCAATAGCGCATCTCAATCGCAAGTACATTGGGCGAACGCAAAGGCAACTGGCAGCCAGAGCAGTTGAGCACCTGCCTAAATGGCTTCTAAAGCAGGAGAACAACACTCCGCGGTCTTCCATTACAAAACATCTCCTTGATAGTGGCCATTCGGTTGACCCCAAAACGTCTTTTCGAGTATTAGTTCGAGCACGAACTACTCGGTTATTGCGCTACCTGGAGGCAGCCTATATACGGCGAGAGAAACCCGACCTATGCAAACAGTTAGACCACGTGGTCAACCTCGGCTTGCCCTGGTAGACCTGAGTCCTTTTGATTTTCGAAATCCCTCGGCATGTTTACATCCCTATTTTCATTCCTATGTTGCATTTTGAAGTTACCATTTTATCGATTAGTCTACGCGCAGTATCCGTTGACCTTGCTGTTTTACATCGATTTTCTCTGTCGAAATTCAAACCTTGTACCTTTCTCACTTGTTATTTCTGTTATGCAACGACCGGCAGCAGTTGAGAAGCCGTCGCGAAATTTTGTGGTACCATTAAATTCGGCTGTCCTTGCTTGCTTTAAATTCATTCCGGGGAAATATTCCTTCAAGTTTTATATAAATCGCCTAAATGGCCTTTGGTTTTTTGGAAGAACCCACCTCCGATAGCTATCACATCACTGGATGTGGAATTAATGGTTGATAGGTTTCTAAGTTTTGTCATCCTCCTAGTCATATCAAATATTAAACGATTTCGATCAAAAATGTGTGAATGTGCGGCAAATATATTACGGAGGAGTATCGCAACCAGGAAGAAGATGACGTCCGAGAGCACAATGAGGTGTGCCTGGGGTGTTGGACCTCTAGTAAAACTGGTCATCAGAAAAAGAGAAGTGTTTGGAATCAGTTCGCGCCATCTTATATTTTCTCTGGTCATGCCGATGCGAACATTGAATTGGAAAGAGGGGCATCCCTCACAGTGGCATCATGTGTCCACACATTTTTGGGCGAAGCCGTCTTGTCCTTTGATTCTCATGACTTCAAAAGCAATTACGCCCTGCTGCTTGATGAATGGCGTCGCACTGCTATACTTATTAAGGGTTCCCTCGTTTGTTCTGTTTCTGCAATCGATCTTCTGGCTGCACTACGCAATGGGCGCTTTTACTGACCTCTAGTGATGCTTTCTCATTCGTCCTTGTTCAGGCCGTTAACACAATATCGGCATAAACGTCTTCAGATTTTAGAAGAAGAGGTTGTAGCGTGCATCGACCAGACGCTTCGGATTCCCAGTCGAGCCCGTAATTGGAGGCAGTCGCAGATAAGGGCAATGGAGGCACAAGTAGCACGGTGCTTGAAGGTCATAGCTGTCATGCAACCACCTGTCTACAATGATAACAGCACCTGCGCTCTTGGGTGGCGTCGTATTTGATACCGAATTTGTGGCAGCATTGAGGGGGAGATAACGCCAGCACTGGGGTAGCAGCTCATTTGGAGGGAGCCGGTCACATCCCCTGGTTCGACGAGGACGAAAGCCTCTCAGGAGGTAAAAACTGTGTAAGCCGCTAGCTGTTTAAATCATGGTTCTTTCGCCAACAGTCAGTTAACAAATGCAATGACCTCTTGTCCCCGTATTCTGTGCTGAGACTCTGCTTGGGTGCATGACATATTCATTGGTTACCTGGTTAAGAAGAATGTGTCGTAAGTGATTTTTGTACAGGCAAAGAATAAAGTCCTCTCCGGTTACAAAGTGGACTTCTGTCAAACGTGTGAATCTACAATGTTGGCCAAAAGTCGTAAATGTCATCCACTCGTTCACTCCAAAAGATGTCGAACTTATTTATTGATGAAAGGCTTGCTGGCGTAGACAACTTGCTGATCGCAGGCAAAGATAACCCTCCATAAATCGCAGGTGACTACTTTCGTCGGGACAAATCTGTACTTGGCAATTTGTCCTCCTTTCTTCTAGTATAAAAGTGGAAATTCAATCTGCTGGTTCCCGGTTGTGGCTCTTTTTACATTTAAAGCCCATAGTTTGCTTCATTTTTATGGAAAAAATGTGAATTTTATGGCCATTGACCTTGTTGTGATGAACGCAAATTACAATTGGGATTTCAAATAGATTTGGATGCCGGCATAGATGCCATCCTTACCCATTTATTTCTTGACACAGTGGCACTACTGAAATATGTCAGTGCATCACAATGGGATAATGTCTTCACCGATTGAATAGTATTTTGAAAGAAACACAATCCTAAATATGATGGAAGAACATACTACATTAACCCAATTCAGACGTAGGTAGCTACTTCTAGAGCGTAAAATCCGGATTTGCGTGTAAGAGGTGTCAAATGGGTTGGGAAATCTGGGCCGGAAACCCCTTGAACTCGTCAAAATCCCGTTGCTGTTAAAATAGCCGACATGGTGTTCTTATGTCAGGGGAGATCACAGTGACATTGCTGGCGTGGAAATACACGAGAGCCCTTCCCTATATTACAGATACGACAATCATTTTGTAATGTTTACCACGCGAAGTGTATTGTCGTAGGCGGGAAATGTCGAAGATTACAATTTAAAAAAGTCGTTTCTTGTTTACACGTTTGCCAAATTTTTGCTATCGCAGTCTTCACACCCGCTCATTCCTTGTCCAGTCAGACTACTCTACTCAATCGACCAATAGGATTTCCCCGAGAGCAGCGTTCGTCACGAGGCGAGGCTGTTCACCGTGAACTTCTCACAATTTACCCTCGTCCAAAGAAAGAACATTACATGCCACTGTTGCTTATCCTTGTGTAATAATGAAAAATTTCCGATGCACGCTTAAGAAAGCAAACTACATTCAGTTGCATCGATTTGTCCGTCTGGGGGATCGGTCCGACAGTCAGGTCTTCACGTTCATTGTACCGGCTCAGTTAACTCGTGGTTTTGTCAACGTTGCACAGACAAAGGAATTTACATACGGCGGACAACGGTGGCAGCTCCTCCTCTGCTATCAATTAGAAGACGTTATTGCCTCGGATCTGGCCCCCGGTTCCAGTTCTTATGATAAGCCCAGGTCTAATGAGACTTCCAGGGATTTGAACAACCTCCAGTGCCCGCCCCTACAGAAAATCCTCTCTAATCCCCTGAATGTGGGCTTAACACTCTGTGGAGGGCTTGCAGGTATGCATTGCCAACTCCAGTCCTGTCGGTTCACCGTCCTCAATCGAGATTCAACTAGTGCGAACAAGACTCACGAGGAGAAGCTCTCCACCTTCACTGCTGACAGACCTGTCTGGTGGAAAACCGACTGGCTTCAAGTTGATCGTCTGGCCCCCGAGGGTTTTCTTTTTGACGACTGGACTTGGCTACTAGAGGTAGAACTACGCGGAGCCAGCACAATCTACGAGGAGTTCCTGTCTGTGTTGAAGGCGAATACGATGAAGACTCCTGACGGAAAGTTTCAAATCGAATCCGCCACCTTCACTTACGCGGGCTCCGATTGGAGTGTGAGTCTCGAATGGCTACCGCCAGAAGCCAAAGAGGCTGCTTTCGTAACCAATACTGTACGCGTTGCCGCGGCTACAAAGACGGAGACAGTAGGCTGTCCCAGGCTTAAGTTACACAGACACAGTCGAACAAATCATTGGTGTCGTGTGCGCTATCGCACAACGCTCGTCTGGGGCAACCTCGGGGAGTCAACATTCGGACCTATTGACCAACTCATCACTTCAAACAGCGGCGCATCAACTGACGGCTACGAAATCGGTGATCCCAAATGGTTCACCAAGTCTACTCAGCCAATCGTCTGGGGAAAACTCCGTATAAAAATTATTGTGGAGATGTTGGCTGCCGCACCTGTCAGCCGTATAGACCTTATCCCTATAGCTCCCCTGGGCGGTAAGAATTTAGCCAGGTGTAAAGATCCCGAGGGTTACGACTGGGTGGTCCTTAGTGATATTTTGGGCACCCTTGTGCGCCTAAAATTCTTCCCCGTTGTGGAGGTACATCAGCACGATGGTACGAATCCACCTCAGCCAACAGACACACTCTGTGAGTTGAGATGCGTCGCATGGAATGTACACCTTATCCCCTTCCAGTCGGCGCGGGGAGTAGTGAAGGCACTCAGCTCCATCTACGTCTGCCATGTTCCGACCTACCGTTGCCTGGGACGAGGGGTCAATAATTCACTCGGATCCCCAAATGATGTGAAGGAGATGATGCTTCACCCTGAGGAAGCTGTTGAGGTCGCACTTGACTTATCTGTAGAAAATGTGAGTCAAAAGCCTTTTCATTGACATTTCCATGCTTAGCTGTCTTACTTTGTCGAGTCCTAGTGTAATCATTCAATAAAAGCTATTTGAATAAAATTAAGAAGAGGCTGTAATTCAAAGTTTGTTTGGGTCGTAATAAGACACCGGCATGAGCTTTTAGAGCATATAATTACCTCAAAAGGGTCTGAGGCGAATTACGTTCGGTCTACAGTAGTCGTACGAAACATATGGTAAAGATCAGAAATGTCTATTGGCAACTGATATGAAAAACACGGAGGTTGTGATTCGGATCGCCATCGCGTCTTTGATGACAACAAACGGAAAAAAGAAGGAAACTATAAAACATTTTAACGCGTAAAGGCGTAGGCATTAAGGCATTAACGAGTGCCTATCTGCAGGCAGACTACTGCCTTATAGTGGAACATCCCCATTGATTACGCACCAAAGAGGTTTCGAGAGAGAGTTTGGGGTCAATACAATTTTATCCGCGGAACAGTTCTTTGACAATGGACGAACGGTCGATTTTGCGTTCCGACATCGGAAACTATCTGGCGGGTGATCAATTGCTTCCGATGCTAGATACATTTGCATCTGGAAGTTGGAGTGTATGCGCAAAGTCAGCTCTATTTGTACTCTATGATCAAACGCCTTCGCACTTCGCAAATGACAATGGAGGAGGCCATACCATTGTTAGTATATGGTTTCCTTGACGAATTTGTGGGTAAAATTATCCAATTTCGTACCTTTCGCGTATGCAAACGCATTTTAGTTATGTGCTTTGTTTCCTTAAGCAATCGAAACTTGTCCATTGTAAGCTGTGCACCGAATAACGTGAAAATATGACTGAAAAATTATCTGATTTTTCGATAGAAAACGGTTAGTTTATTGGCTTTTTGAGAATATCAGCTTTGAGAATAACCATCAGGTAAATCCTGAATCATCAATTGCTGAATTCTATAGAAAATTTCCAAATCAACTGCTACTATCTGACCAAAAAAGTTCCCAATGTTGTGAGAAATAACTTTTTCTGATTTTCGGTTCTGTTCCAACGAAAAATCATATTCCTCGAAACTCATTACTAAAAGGGAAAATCTTTACATTGTTTTATTAGTCTTCAAACATAAAGAGTTAAAAATAATTTACTCGTTTTTCAGGTTTGTGATAAAGATGCCGGATACGTCCATCCGAGGGATAATACGATGACAATTCGTGTTGAATGGCTTTAGTCCCAAAATTTGTGTCACAGCCATTACAATGTCTACGATGATTTACTTCAAACTCAACGAAAGGAGTTATGGTAAGCCGCCCAGTTGGCACCTGCCCTTGTCAAATCAACGAGCTATCCACCAGATAGACATAAATCAAAATTTGTATTATTTTTTCGCTTTCGCTTGTTTTAGTTCGCGTTCTGCTACGTGAACTAGATATTCTAGCGTTAATTTAAAGATTTTATTGTGGAAAATTTCAGAAGATTGTTACGAAACAAAATGCGAGTTCCAGTTCACGGTTTAGTTGAAATGGACGTACTGTGCGCCTAATAACCGACTGAGTAGCATGTCGGACAACATAACCATTAAATAACGAATAAAGTTATGAACAGATATCATGTGCAATACGCAAATATGCATTACTCTGGTGGACTCGATTTTTACTCGAGTCCATCATCATCGTAGTCGGAAACGAATAGTAGGAACTCGTGTACTGGACTTCAACCAATCATGAATTTAAATCTGTAAAAAAATTGGACCGACCCTGCGTCTAATGCTTACGGTGGTGTTGGCTCTTTAATAACCAGGAAAACTTAATGTACTTTTAATTTGCGTCAAAGTGCCCATGTACTTGGCGAAGGAAACTAGGCAGCCAGGATTTAGTATTTGGTTGACAAAAACGATAAAATTCTGCATTTGGCAAGACGTTAGAGGACATGTGCCTTGAAGAACGTCTGAGAAATATTTTCCTTGAATAACCTTTCGCTTGGCAGGCCTTACGGATATAAGGACTTTATAGACAAACTTGAAAAGTGGTTTTCTCCCTTAAAAATAGTAGAGGATTATTTGAGATCCCAAAGTTTTTCTCTAAAGTACTTTACGGACATCCATCGGTATAAGCACGGACTAGAAGTTTAGATCTCTTTATTGAAAGAAATCGTTTTCTTAACAAAATTCGCCTGAGTATATAAAGTACATTCCAAATGCTGTCCCAGATGACGACAAAAGCACATCCGGTAACGCATGACAACCACAATATTATTACGGTTACAGCAACTTCGTTGGTCGAACGGGAGTGCTCGTAGCTGCTCATATCCTTGTAAATCGGAGCTTGACCTACTATAGACATACTGATTCGCAATTTGCGGTTTACGTCTGCTTGAACTAGTATGTTTACAAATCCACCTGCTGAAAAAGCCAAATGTTTTAAATTGATTGTTTTTATAAGCGTTACATGGTTATTACTCACTGGTAGAAGTTGCGGTATGAATGAATCGCGCCTATCTTCTAAAACCTGGAACGAATGTGTTGTATTAACGCCACATTTGCAGTGCATCTAAAGCGTAATTGTTTTTTTGTCATGGATTTTAGCAATTTTTTCTAAACCTCATTACTTCGTTCTCCTAATATTTAAAAGAAATTACAAAAGTTGTGTCCAAATGAAAAAATGCAAAATGCCATATAATCCATTTATTCTTTAAAAATCAGTTCTCCACCGTTCAAATATAATTATTCGGCAATCACTTATCTTAGTCATAACATGTAATCTAACAAACTACGCCTACAAAGAGGCTAGTGTGCTTTCTCGTAATTGTCAATGAGGAAAATTGGATATTTTTCGAAAACTGATAATTGAATCCACGGGCACGGGATTAGTAAAACGACAAATTTTATGCCAAAATTCCGTACCCGGTCTAAAAGGCATAAGCCTTTCAAATTTTCTTGGCGCTGATTCTAAGGATTTTCGGTTTTTCAGAATTATTCATTTATTTTTCAAACAGCGTTTTGTCGCCTTCTGGAGTAATGCAGCGAGAGCATTAAAGGAGGTTCCAAGTTAAAATGTATTATGTTGGTTCAAATTTATTTAAAGACTTGTTAGATTCAAAAGATTATGTGTTTGCTTGTTGAGCGCATTATTAGGGTGAATTACTGCATGCTTCGACAGAAAATATTTTTATTTAGACGCATTGAGACTACTAAGACGCGTATCACATCGTCTCAAAAGTGGACTACTTTCTTTTCATTTAGGAGGTTTATACTGGTAGTCAAAACTAGATGTCTCACTTCCTACCCCGCAAAAATAACTCGCACGAAACCGCCATTCAGAAAGGTGGACTTATGCGCTTATTTCTGGGAAAATGATGTTATTTTTTCTATACAACCTTTCTGCTTAAAACTTCTGTCGATGTCTCAACGATGCATCCAGAAAGACCTCTTTTGTTATATCTAGAATACGACATCTTAGACCTATTCACTGGGTTTTTGAAATCTTCAAAACTCGACCTTTTTTAACTGCAAAAATTAGTGAAACAAACTTGCTTTTAGATAATCGCTTTTTGCTGCGGACTAAGTGGTCTACGAATGACAGTTCGTCCACAATTGTTATTGTGGCCGAAAACTTTAAATTGAGGCATTCTCATGAGGCACATCTATGCATTAAAGTAGCTTACATCTGATATACCCTCTTACGATCCCACACATTTCCAATATACCGCATGCTTGCGGGTTAGCCACATTTATACAATTTTGCTGCCGCGTTACTGTTAAACGACCGCAATTCGCGTAGGAAAAGGAAGAGTTTTACTTTGTTTCTTAGTGTCCACGTTTAGCAAGTATTTGAATGACTTGACGGGAACCATAGATAAGGACCAATTACGCAATTATCTTCAGCCACTTAGACTAATGCGGCTGAACATATCTGTGCAAAAGGGAAAGCCTAGAGTTCCAATCAGAACAATATACTTGCTAGGCCAGTAAAGAAACAAACATTCCCGTTGCTTATCGAAAAAAGTATTTACTCGTGTAATTGTCTACATTTTTAAAAAGGGTGACTTATACGTACTGGTCGTGATTAAATATCACTTTTATTTTGAACTACATAAAGCCTAAGTGCCAGGCGTATTTCCGGCGCCAGACCTAGCAACTAAATATACTGGGCCAATCCGAAGAATTTGTTCTTCCCTTGTTGAGCTTCAGTATAGTAGGAGTGCTAGATAGTCTTTAAATATTTCGTTTGGAATGTGTGGCTTTCACTTAAAGTTTGGGGGCAGTTATTTAAATTTAAAAGGTCTGTAAAATGGCTAATTCAGCCTCAAGAATGTAAAATTGCAAATTTTATGAGCTACTCGCGAGTTCTGCAATTCAGCCCATCTGCAAGAACACGCAAAATGAAACTTGTTTAAGAAATATGAGGAAGAATGTTTTAGCTTTTTTCTCTCCGTCGGCTTATGAACACAACCACAGGCAGCAGTTTGCAGTATCAAATGGTTAAAGGGGGGGAGTGCTTCTGGATCCTACCATGACAGCAAATTTAAAGTAACGTGCGATTAAGTCCCTGAAAAGTTGCAAAATATAAAAACAAAACGGCTTAGCAGGTCGAAACACCTGTATCCAGAAAGTACAGCAGATGCTGAAATCATAACTAAACGTTATTGGTCAAATTACGTGGTATTTTGCAAATAAAGGGGGCAATTATTCACGGCCTTAAGCCGTCATTAATAAAAGGTCTATCCTTCTCAACAGGTATAAGGTGACACGCGATCCACAATAGCATCGTTTGTTATAAAGCTTTGGGATTGCAATTTTCTACCAAATGCGTTCGCACATATTTTTGTCTATCGATTCGAGTGAAAGTCAATCCCAGAAGGTCAGGCGTACAGCCACTGTCAGATCACAAAGATCTAGTGTCTTCATGGTTTTCAAGCGTATTACTATGTCATCCGTTGTTTCCTTTTGACAGCCCGCGTAGGCAACAGAAGCCAGGTTGGTCAAAGAAAGACGCTGACTGGGGATGTGACAAATATGATGTATCTACGTAAAACGGATGCCATCCGATTTTCCGTCAATCTCCAAATCTGTGGTCAATTACAAAGAGCTTGAAATTTCAGAAGAATAGTTTATGGTTCGTCGAAAATTAACATGTGCTAAGGACAGCTAATCTGGATGAACTAAAAGTAAAAGCAATCACTGGAATAAGAGTTGCAATTGCCCGACCTTCCGGATTCGCGCTCGAACACACCATGACAGGCAGTAACAGGTACGGGTAATTCGTGCACAGGAAGCCGTATGCTGCTGCATACCAATGATAATTAACTAGTCTCTACTTCATCGGGAATGGTTGCACGCTGGCGCGATTTTGTCGTTTGTCCCGTTCGCGTATGCACCAGTTGACGGAAATGCACGCGTAGTCATTTTCTCTGAAAAACTGCCAAATATATTGAAATTGGACAGCGTTGCCTTCCGGTTCACTGTAATGCGCCTCAACACACTGATATGACGCCCTTACACAACTGCGTTTATGGCCGAATGGGTGATTGCGTCGTATTTGTCACTCTCCTGAGCACTTTTGCCTTTAGACCATCATAATCTTTTCGGCAGACGGGAACATCAAGTTAAGCCAGCTGGTCGTTTTCTTTCTCCGTCATCGTAAATTAAATGTCCAGGAGACGCTATTAAGGCGTTCGTTGAACGTTAGCACATGATCCCATACGTTAACGACGTAGGTATCATTCACATACCAGGCCTAGGATTTCTGTCTGTGCTGACGGAAGACCAGTGACTCTAAATGGACAAAGCAACTACGTCGGTGAAACTGGAAGACTGCTTCGGACGCGAATAGCCGAACACGTTGCCGGAGAAATGATGTTAACTCTCAGGTAGCAGCCCATTCGATAGGACCCGGCCACACATTCAAGTTTGACGGGGCCGAAATTCACGCGAGAGGCAGTATTCACTTGAGCCGCGAGTTGCCTGAGACATGGTTTACGGGATCCCAGTCTATTCACATGTGCAGTGTCATCCCCACCCCATATTCGGTTCTGAATCCAGCCGGAGTAATTAGCCCCTCAGGGGACGCGCAAGTCGGTGAGCCAGGTGAAATTTCAGCAGTTAACAACTTGCACGCCAGCGGGTAACCACCCCCAATGAAGGGGGGATCAGTTAATTATCATAGGTGTGCAGTAGCATTACAATTGCATTCCTGAACACGAAGCACCTGCAATTGTTGCTGTCACCGGTAA